AAAAAAAAAAAATTGAACTTTTCTCAAAACCAGGCTGACAGTACCTTTTTTTACATATGCCTTCCTGGCACTAGACTGATGTCTCAGTGTCTAGAAACAGTGATGGGTTTAATTTGTTTTATGGAGAGGATCAGGTGGGGCAAAGAAAATTGAAGTTAAATTCTTTGATAGTTTCACCTAGGTGTCTTCAAATCTTGAGCACTCACATTCTTAGCATAAAGAGAAGATTCATCTGCCCGGACACATCTGTAATCCTTTTCCTTGAAATACAATCCTTCTCTTCGGGCTTGTAAAGGGTTCTTGGCATATCCATTCACAAGTGTTCGGACATCAGTGGGCATTATCTGGAGAGGTTAAATAGTTAGACCAGGAATTGGCAAACTAAGGCTGGCAGCCAGCCAAATTCACCCACTGCCTCTTTTTTATAGCCTGTAACCTAAGGATGGTTCTCAGATTTTTAAATGATTGGACCAAAAAAAAAAAAAAAATCAAAAAAATAATAACACTTTGTGACATTTGAAAATTATATGAAATTTAGGCTTAGCACCCTTAGCACAGTGGTTATGGTGCCAGCCACATACACCGTAGTTGGTGGGTTCGAACCCGGCCCGGGCCAGCTAAACAACAATGACAACTACAAGAAAATAGCCGGACATTGTGGTGGGCCCCTGTAGGCCCAGCTACTTGGGAGGCTGAGGCAAGAGAATCGCTTAAGCCCAACAGTTGGAGGTTGCTGTGAGCTGCGATGTCACAGCACCCTACTGAGGGTGACATAGTAAGACCCTGTCTCAAAAAAAAAATTTTTTTTTATGAAATTTAAATTCTAAGCCAGGATTGGTGGCTCATGCCTGCGATCCTAGCACTCTGGGAGGCTGAGACAGGGAGATTACTTGAGCTCAGGAGTTCAAGACTAGCTTGAACAAGAGACCCTGCCTCTACTAAAAATAGAAAATATTGGCCAGGCACATATTTCGTATAGTCCCAGCTACTCAGGAGACTGCAGCAACAGGATCATCTGAGCCCAGGAATTTGAGGTTGTTGTGAGCTATGCCACCACTGCACTCTACCCAGGGCAACAGAGTGAGAATGTCTCAAAAAACCATTGTTTTTGGTGTCTATAAATAAAATTTTATTGAACATAGGCACACTCATTCTTTTGTGTATTGTTTATGACTACTTACACATTACAATTGCAGAGATGAATGGGTGTAACAGAAACCATATGACCCAGAGGCCTAAAGTATTTTACCAGTGCTCTTTATAGAAAAACTTAATTTAAAAGTATTATGCCTAGGGCAGTGCCTGTGGCTCAAAGGAGTAGAGCACTGGCCACATATGTTCAAACCCAGCCCTGCCAAAAACTAAAAACTCAAACTAAAAATAAAAGCATTATGCCTAAACTTGTCTTTTCTTACATTAAATCCTGGTGATGCTACACACACGGTCTGTTCCTGGATGTTGATGAGGGCTGCACTGTCCACATGCTTGGTTCCCAGGAGAGCATCTAGCAGTAAGTTCTGCAAATGGCTCATGCCCGTTCAGCTCTGAAAGGGAAACCGCAGTACAAGAGATCTACTTTGGCTAGCTTCGAAAAGGCATGTGAATACAAATGTCCCTACAGAACGCTTCAGTTTTAATACTGTGTACTTTGAAAAGAGGAAGAGTTAATGAAAATGATGGCCCACCATCTAGCGTACTAATAGAATCCTAGAAAAATCACAGTTAACACAGAATGGGTTACGAAGCTGGGTTTCCAAAATCACAGCCTCAGGGTTTCCTTATGCCGATGGTTTGCATTAGAATCGTCTGGGATTTAAAAACAAAACAAAACCCAGCTAGGATGGAGAACCGCCCAGCTAAGCAAACAATTGGAATGAGATATGCAAGCTCATAAATCCTCACATTCCCTTCCCGCTGACCTGCTGCCGGGCCAACCGTGAACAGGGACCATCCCCCAGGGGACTAAAAACACCTTTCAGGCGTTTAAACCGACACTTTCTGCCCAGGTCCTCAAATCTTGGGCAGTCCTCACCAGGACAACCGCCCTGGAGCCCCCTTCCCGCCACTCCCTTCCCCGGGCGTGGCCCACGGGAGGAGGGGTGTCCCCGGAGCCGGACCGAGAAGGGGACCCGGGGTGTGTGTGCGGTTAGTTTAGTCCCGTCGCCTGGGGAAACTCACTTAGGACACCAAGGACTCGAGGGAGCGGACGCCGCCCCTCTCTCCGTCCCGGAGCCCAGCCTCTCGAGGGGCCGGCTTGTCGGGACCCGCCCGTCAACGGACGCGGCGACGGCGACGGCGGGATTGGGAGGGCCACCTGCCCGTCAGCCCGCTTCCCACCCGCGCCCGCCGACCGGGGCTGGCGGCAGCCGCGCCCAGCTCCTTCCCGAGCCTGAGGGGGCGGCAGGAGCGCAGCGGCGCGAGGCTCTGGGCCGGGGCTGCCGGTCGTCGCACGTCGTCGCACACCGGGGGGAGGGGCGGGCGCGTTTGCGTCCCGGAGACGCCGGTCGCCAACGTTCCCGCTTTCCGAAGCGACTGGCTCGAGCTGAGGGCAGCCGGGCGACTCCGGAGCTTTGGGTCGTCGGGTTGGGTGCGAGGCAAGAGAGTCGGAGGGCTTGGCGACCTTGGGAGGGGAGAGAGGTGCCTGTCGCGGCCTGCGGCCTCCCAGCGGGGCGGGCTGGTTCCCGAGCGCGCGGCGCGGGGCGCGGGGCGCGGTGTCCGGGCGGAGGCCGCGCGCCTCCTGCCGACTGGGCAGTGGGTAGAACTAGCGCAGCCCCTACCACGGCTTCTCCCTGGGCTTCAGGCCTTCCAGAGGGCTTTGCGAAATTTTGACCCAAAGCTAGGGTGACCAGACGTCCCGCTTTCTAACAATTTGTCCCGCGTCCCGCGGCGTTTAAAAAAAGTCTCGATTTTTGGAAAGAATGCACGAACGGGCGGGAGAACAGGAAAGGAATATATGGGTTTTGGCTGCCATGTGGCTATTTCGCCAGGACATGAGTTTTTTTTTTTGTTTTTTTTGTTTTTTTTTTGAGACAGAGCCTCAAGCTGTCCCCCTGGGTAGAGTACCGTGGCACCACAGCTCACAGCAACCTCCAACTCCTGGGCTCAAGCGAGTCTCCTGCCTCCGCCTCCCAAGCAGCTGGGACCACAGGCGCCCGCCACAACGCCCGGCCATCTTTTGGTTGCAGCCGTCATTGTTGTCCGGCGGGTCCGGGCTGGGGACTCGAACCCGCCACCCTAGGTGTACGTGGCTGGCGCCCTAGCCGGCTGAGCTATAGGCGCCGAGCCCAGGACATGAGTTTTAACAAAAATTATTTTTGTTAATTTTATAATATTAAATTGAGAATAACAAATAATTGTTGAGAAGTGATTATCGAGAACTGCTTATCAAAGTTTGCATTATTGTCAGGCCCCCCCCCCCAGTCATGTTGTCCCGCTTTACAAATGTTAAAATCTGGTCACCCTACCCCAAAACCCTTCCCTCATCTAAGCTTCTCGGCTCGGTTTCTGTGACAGAAAGTTGCGACTTTTCCCCATGCACAGTTACCAAAGTCAGAAGATGGGGCTTCTTAGGGGCCGGGCTGAAATCGCGACGCTGGCTGGACTGGGCTCCCTGCCTACTAGGACGCGGGCAGCCCTTCCCGGGGCCTGGGCATTATTCGCTCAGAGAGAAGCCTTGAAGGAGGCTGGCTCTGAAACCGTCGTGAGCAGCCCACTGCGAAGGCCTCTTGCAGTAGCATGGATGGCTAATGTGCAAAATCCATTCCTCGTCTGTTCAGTGTCAAAGTAGTTCAGTTTAACAGAAAAGAAAATTAGATGACTACGTATTGTGAATTTTGATTACCAAAATAAGCTAATTTTTAGGTATTTTTTTAAAGGGCGCTATTAGTTGTGACTACAATGAAAAATGCACGCAGTGGCACACCACAGAAGCTCAAGAGCTCCAAAGAATGGTTGGAACCACAATCGATTTCTTTTATTGAGGTATAATAGGACATTTTGAGGTTTTTCTTTGGGTAATTGCACTGAGAAGTGGCTCGCGCTAAATATATTTTTTCTTTTACTGCTTCTATATTTCATTCTCTTTATTATTCTTTTTTGTTCTACTAACTTTGTATTTATTGCTCATTTTCTAGCTTCTTAAAATGGAATCATAGACCATTGACTATATACTTTTATTTGATTATGTACTTGTAATATACCATAGCTGTAAGTTTCTCTTGAAGCACTGCTTAGCTGCATCACTCAAATTTTGATATATTGTTTTTATTTTTTATTTTTATTTTTTTTGAGACAGAGCCTCAAGCTATCCCCCTGGGTAGAGCGCTGTGGCATCACAGCTCACAGCAACCTCCAACTCCTGGGCTCAAGCGAGTCTCCTGCCTCAGCCTCCCAAGTAGCTGGGACCACA